TTTTTAAACCCAAAATAGCTCTCTCTCTCTCATAGAGATAATCACGTTTCACATATCCCCATTCAAGTGCCCACAGTTTTTCAAAGGACTTCACTAGCTGGTCAAGAAATTGAGTCTTAGTGAACAATTTATTTATTTATTTATTTTTTTAAATAATCAACTTCTAGGGGATCCTAATAAGTTTTTTTTTCGTAACTGTTTGTCATTATATAAATCTAAATTTTTAATTTTGATCTTAAATTGAGAAATTTAAATTAATAAATAAAAACTCAATTAAATTTTTGTTGGAAGGGCTATAATAAGGTGAATCCATATTTTGTACAAATCAATTAACAGGAACATGTCCCACTTTTCAAAACCTATTTCTCCACTACCCTTTCACTAAACAAACCCTCGCATGACATAACTCCAATATATATAGAGGGGGTAAAAACAGACAAGCCAAGGATCCACCTGCTCTCCACTTAGCTTAGCCTAACCATGGCTGGCTTTAATTTTCTCAATCCTTACCACTCCATCGGAAAACCCTCCAAACCCTTGACCGCCACCACCACATTTTCCTTCAAAAAAACCTACTCCTTAGCCTTCGTTCTCTTCCTCTGCCTCCTCTCTTACCTCTTCGGCGTCTGGCAACACGATGGCTGGAGCACCGGCCTTGCCTTGTCGACAACCACCTCCACCACCACTTGCAAAACAATAACCGAGGGACTATCATCCTCAAAACCCCTAGATTACGAGTCCCACCACACGGCCAGCTCCGACAAGGCAGCCCCACATGAGGTAGTCGAAACCTACCCTCTGTGCCACGTCAAGTACGGTGAGTACACACCGTGTGAGGATCCAAAAAGATCGCTGAAGTTTAAACGGGACAGGTTGATATACAGAGAGAGGCACTGCCCGAAGAAGGAGGAGTTGCTCAAGTGTCGAATACCCGCACCGTACGGGTACAAGAACCCGTTCTCGTGGCCGCGGAGCCGGGATCTGGCGTGGTTCGCCAACGTGCCACACAAGGAGCTGACAGTGGAAAAAGCAGTGCAAAATTGGATTAGGTACGAAGGGGACAAGTTCAGATTCCCAGGAGGCGGGACCATGTTTCCAAATGGTGCAGATGCGTACATTGACGACATCGGAGAGCTAATAAATCTCAGAGATGGATCCATTCGTACGGCGCTAGATACGGGCTGTGGAGTAAGGATTCTTCTTCACCTACATCTACTTACGAGTAATTAATCTATTATTTAAGTTTAGAAATCCTAATTGTTCAGAAATTTATTAATTAAGGGTGGTTTAGATTGGAATTTGGTGGTCTTTTAAAAACTTTCCCTTCGTAATCTTCAAAAATTAAGAACTATCGTTTTTACTGTTCTTCAATTTTGAAAAGGTTTTAATATTTTCCCGAAAATAAACTGATTAACGCCGCGTCTGGGATTAATGTGAGTGGGGTTACTATGAGGTGCTGTAATGCTAATTAGGGTTGATTGTTTTGAATTATATTATACTGTAATTATAATTAAAAGTTATTTTAATATTTATTTATTTTTTAAAAATATTATAAATGAAATAAGATAGAATTTATAAATTATTAATTAAAATTTTAAAAATATTATAAGATATAACTCATGAGCAAGTGAATGAGTTGACAGATAACTCTTTTAATTTAATTAAAGTTTTTGGTTTTCAATTTTGAAAATGTAGTTTCGTTAAAACTCGTGAGGGAGAGTTTTGTCGTTCATTAAATTTATTCGGTTCGAATCTGGATTAGTCGATGGTTTCGTGAGTTTTTGGATATCAGGTGATTCAAATTAAAAAATATATATTACAAGATATATAATTGTTAAAATAAATAATATTTATTTTTTT